CTCCTCCCCCTCCTCCTCCTTCTCTCCTTCTTCTCCTCCTCCTTCTTCTCCTCCTCTTTCTCCTTCTCCACCTCCCCCTCCTTCTCCTTCTTTTTCTCCTTCACCTCCTTTCCATCGTCTTGATCTTCTTCTTGCTTCCCCTTCTTCCTCTTTTCCTTTTTTTCATACAATATATTGCTTGCAGTTTGCCCTCCCTCCACTCCTCCCAGTTCTTTTACACCTCCTCTCTCATCCAGCTCCACCCCCTTTCTGTCTCTTATAAGAAGACAAACAGGCATATCAGGAATATTAGTAAAATAAAATAGAATATTGTAAAAGGAAAACAAATTGGGATAGGGTAAAACAACGAATGAGAAAGAGCCAAAGAAAAATCACAAGAAATGTATATAGATGCGAGACACACAGAGCATTTCTATGAAAATATAAAACCAGAAGACATGATATATATTCAAAGGACCTGTAAGATAAAACAAAAGCAAAAGCAAAACAACTCCCTCATTGACTTAATATTAGAAGACAAAGACCCTCCAATGATGCAGCTGAGTTAGTTTTGTGTTGGTCACTGACTGCTAGGCACATGGCCTGCCTTTAGTGATTTGCTTCTCCAGTGAGACTCTCTTGAAGGAAACTAATTTTTCAATTGCAAGTGACTATCCAATGAAGAAAGCTACCTGGTTAGGATTGGACCTTCATATTCATATTCCATTTTATTTAAGCTTATATGTACTCAAATGCAAACATGAAATTTAAAACCCAACATAAAAATAAAACAAGCATTAAATTCCATAGAAAATAATTGTTAAAATAATATTCAAGTTTTCGAAACTCATTCAGTTGCAAAGAATTTTTATATTTCTATATATTTCTCTCTGTCTCTGTCTCTCTCTCTGTGTCTCTGTCTCTGTCTCTGTCTCTCTCTGTCTCTGTCTCTCTCTCTCTCTCTCTCTACAGGGTTTCCTTGTAGGTTTGGGGCCTGTCCTGTTTTGGAACTAGCTCTTATAGACTAGGCTGGCCTCAAACTCACAGAAATCTGCCTGCCTCTGCCCCTGAGTGCTGAGATTAAAGGTGTGAGCCACCACCACCCAGATCAATATTACTATATTTCTTAAGTGTCCTTCAGACAGAGATAAGTTTTGGTTTGTCACACTAGAGTTATGGTTTGTTGTGTTTGGTACTCTCCTTGAGGTATGTTGATATACAATGACTGCTTTTTGAAATTTTGCCTATGAACAGTGAATTAACCACTGTCGGGAAAGGAATGCATTTGTTGTCTGTTTCAAAGAGCAGTAGTTGGATTTTTATCATTCACACACTCTTCATACTTCTTTTGCAAGAACCTATGTTTGTGGATGCACATGTTATCCCAGATGGTACTGATCCAAATGATGCTAAGGTGTATTTCTTCTTCAAAGAAAAACTGACCGACAACAATAGGAGCACCAAACAGATTCATTCCATGATTGCAAGAATATGTCCTGTAAGTGCATTGAAATTTTTATTTAAGGAAATAATTCAAATTATGTAATATGCTTTCCAATATTTCAGTGATTTTACCATTTACCATTACCAACAAATAAAATAGAAAGGAGACTGTTAAAGAGCAAGCATTTCAGTAGACAATTATACCACATTTCAGTAAAAATATTTAAGGAAATATTTTGATTTTTTTAAACATAGAAGTACTTTTGGATAATTTTGCAATTCCATTTTCTGTGTTGCAGTCAAGCAACTGTAAATCACCAAAGAAAACAAAATAATTCTTGTAAATAAGATACATCAGAATCTCAGTAACACATAATTCTAAAACATCAAAGCACCATGCATCAGTGGAAAATTAAGAAAGTCTTTTATCATTCTAATTTTCAAGAATGAAGTGTCAGTGTATAAGCACGACATTCAATATCACTGAAAAAATTTTTGATCCAATCTTCTGTATACTCTTTTTAAACTTTTTGGGGGGGCTTATTTATGATAATTTTTTGTCATATTTATTTATTGAAGTAGACTGTGTTATTCTGTTGACTAGAACTCATCTGTTTCTCAAGAATTTGAGTCAATGTAGCAAACTGAGCAGAGACGAAAAGACTGTTGGACATAGAGGAAGACAATAGTCACCAGTGGGCACTATGAAAGAGCAAAATTGCATGTCCTGTGTATTAGCCTGGAAATGCGTGTGATAAACCTTCCACTGAGAAATATGAAGTATAAGTGAAAATGCTGAGGAGTGGGGGGATGAGATAGAACTCTCTGGAGGCTTCGAAGCTCTGAAAGCTATAACTGTATGCAGTAAATTTCATCTACATTTACGAGAATGAACATTTGCCTTGGCAAGTGGAGAACAGTTATTTATTCACCTGATATAACTGTTTATTTTGTATCTTGTAAAAATTGAGTCATATACTTATATTTCCATATAGTCCATTTCTTACTGAGACTGTACTACAAAAGATCGATCAAAAAATACTAAAGATCTTAGTTGTTTTTTTTAAATTGATGATAATCCTTTCTAATCTTTAGATAACACTAAATTAAAAACCAGAATTCTAGCTGAATTATAATACACAATTGTTTCTCCAATCATCTGAATTGTGTTTGTAAAATGGTTCCAGAATGACACTGGTGGACAGCGTAGCCTTGTCAACAAGTGGACCACATTCTTAAAGGCAAGACTTGTGTGCTCCGTCACAGATGAAGATGGCCCCGAGACACATTTTGATGAATTAGGTGCGTGGATATGACGGTGGGCACTGTTTCTGAGAAGGACTTTATGTGTATCATGTGTCTTACTAAAATCTCAGAGAGGTTGCATTTGCTCTGGATGTTAACAGTGTAAATAGTGTTCCACCTTGGGAGGGAATCGTGAGCTGCTCATCCATGTCCGTAAATATGTTAGCAATTTCTTCCAGCATTGAATGCATTGCTAAAATGCTAAAACATTAATATGTGGGGGGGGGGGTGAAAGGACTTCTAAAATTGATATACAGTATAATATAAATATAATAAGAATGACATGTTTTATCCTTTATAAATGAATTTGTAATATATATTTATTATATTCTGATCTAAAGAAATTTATGTTTAGGTAACTCTAAATGAAAATATTATACACTATTCATTTAAGTTCTTATATTATTAACTAAATAAGTGTATACACAAACATACATGCACACACATATATATGCAAGTTCTACATTAAATAGAAAATTTAATAAAGTTTTTAAAAAGTATCATTATAAATTTAAAAAATTATGATCCCAGTTTAGTTCTTCTTGATGATTCTCACTAAGTGTTCCTTCTATGACAAGAATCTTATGTTCTCCAGATCAAATAAGGACTAATAGTCTTTCAAGGAATGGTTTTCTTGTTAATACATCATAACGCTGTGATAGTTATTTAGAAATGTCTCTTTTCAAATACTATCCATTGAAATGTGTAGCTTAGTCATTCTTAGATTTTGAGGCATATGTTGAGGTAAACAATACATATCTATTACAAACTGCAAAAATGTACTGATTCTGAGAGTTATAAATAAATCTGAAGGAGGCTATTTCTCACATTAAGAAACATTGTCTTTCATAAGTCTACAGTTCTTCAAGACTCAAGATTCATGTTTTATATTTACTGTATTATAAATGCATCGGTCTCTGCCTATAACATACATTAAAGTCTTATTGTTAGAGGAACTATTAGATAAAATAGTCTTGGAATTTTTGAACTTAAGTCTAAATAAAGTTTTGTTACTACAAAGAAAGTTTTACATCTTTTACTTCCCATGCAAAAGATTTTCTTCAGCATTACAACTTCAAAACATAGATTGAAAGAAAACTGAGAGTTGAGTTATTTTTAAATTAAAATTACTGTATCATCAATAGAGGGTTTTGAGGAAATGCAGAATCAAGCCACAGGAAAATATCTGTGCCATTCCTACCTTGGACAGCATGGTCAGCCTTTGCCTTCTCCACAGACTTACAGCATCAAGGATTTCAAAGTTCTAGTCTATAGCATCCATTTGGGGTTTTCCCCTTATTGTTATACAATACCATCATTTCCATAGAGACGCAGTCTTTCTGAATGCTCTCAGTGCCAGGCTAGCATTTTATTTACTCTACTAAGCACTTATCATCACATTATAATAAAATGGAGGAATTTTCCAGTAATACCTTCTTGAGGATTACTCTTCATAGTTGAAAGTGTTGTATTGAGATAATTCAAAATCAGCAACTGGCATTTGAGAAACTTTAAAAGAATATGTTTTCCTTTTGATAGAGGATGTGTTTCTGCTAGAAACTGACAATCCGAGGACCACCCTTGTGTACGGCATCTTCACCACGTCCAGGTAATTATTAAACAGCTGCAGGTCTTTCAGTAAGCAATGAACGCTCCCATTTCACTTGCTTTATCCAGGTCGCTAAAACACATTTGATCTCAACTAATGTTTACAAATGCATTTTGAACAATTGCATGTTGTTCTACAGAAGAAATAAAGCGTGTATAGAATTGCAGAAGTAAGATGCTTGAAGTATTTGTTGACATAGCGAAGTTAAAGACAAATAGTTCTAATAAAATAAGAATCTATGGTTTTGGTGGAGAAGAATATGTTTCTACCTTGTATTTTGGCAGTGGTAGCGTAAGTATATACGTACAAGTCGTGGGAGAGTATATTTAATTATTTAAACTTTTATAACAGACATGCATTATTAAAACTAAAAAATGTTTTTTGTTTTGAATTAAAATAACTTTCACTTCATCACTAAAGTGGTGACGTTGAGAAGGTGACGAGAACTGGACTGGTTCTGTTATTCTGCAATATGACTAATTTTTACATTTTAACATAGGCTTAATATTTTCTAGTTTTTCTTGGAGTCCAAAGGCAACTTTATTATGTTTCGCAGTGCGTTTCCCACAGACTTGATACGTTCTGTGCATATTTCAGTCTATTAATTTTGTACTCGATGTTACTCTGAATTCAGCCTGGAACTCCAGCCAAGTCTTCTAAACTAAAGGGAAGGTTGCACCCGTTCCTTTTCATATATTAGAAACCTGCAAAAACGGTGATTGGAAATATTATTTTCTAAGTGAGTTTTAAATGTGGTATAAGTGCCTGGGGTGATTCTTCAGTAAGAAAGAGATCTTGTTGTTCATACATGAGGCCCTGAGTTAGATCCCTGACACCTACGTAAATGCCAAGTGTGGTGGCATTCCATATGGCCCCACGTCGGTTGGGGATAGAGAGAGGGAGAGACATGTCCTAGACATGTCCAAGTTTGCTGGCGGGCGAGTCTCACCAAAATGGCCATCATCAGGCTCACAGGAATCAGGACAACTGTGACAGAGCACAACACCTGGAGTCTTCCTTTGACTTTTGCGACACATGCCTGCATACAATGTGTATACACCCACCCACACTTATACGCAACATACAGAAAAGAGGAAAAACAAACCGTAAAGTGTGGTGCAATTGCTGCTATGAGCTTTTCAAAATCAAAGAATTGGCAGGAATACTGATTTTCAGTCATTTAGGTTTACACCCCAAGGTGCCCCGGATGTCCTGGATGGTTTGCTTAGCTAATGAATAAATCTAGCAAATGAATAGCATCACTTTATATAAAGTAATTGAATGGCAAAATAAGAAAAATTTCAATAAAATATTGATTTCAGTAAGATACTGATTTTAATAAAATTTTTCTAGTTTATATTTGTCAAAAATTAGCTTGACCATTAAACATTAGAAAGTATCATTTTTATCTACTGGTGTTAATTTAATTCATGATTAAAGTTTTATTTCCATCTAAAACTTTTTTAATTAGGCTTCTAGTTTGAAGTCAATATTAAGTAAAGAAACATGATTTTATTTGCAAGTAGTTATCAGTTGGAGATTTCCTCTGAGCTAGGGATGTGGGTGTGTGTCTACCTCCTCCAGAGGGATCACTGGAGATATCCAGATCAGGGCCTAGTGTTACAAGGTCACTCACTCTGTCCCTGTGGCTGCAGGTCTCTGTACTGATTCCCCTCTGCTGCACGAGGAAGCTTCTCTGCTGCTGAGCAAAGCATGGATTTGCTCCCCTAATCAGAGTGCTCAAATTCACCGGCACAAATGAAATAGATTTTAGAAAAAATAAAACAGATTCTTTGCTTTCATTTTCAGCTCTGTTTTTAAAGGATCTGCAGTGTGTGTGTACCATTTATCTGATATACAGACTGTATTCAATGGGCCTTTTGCTCACAAAGAAGGCCCCAATCACCAGCTAATATCCTATCAAGGCAGAATTCCATACCCTCGCCCTGGCACTGTAAGTACCCATGAAATTTACTTTTATCTTATTTAAGCGAAAACTGTATTTACATCTATTAAATAGAACTATGGTCCTCTGGGTATGCTCATTATGATTTTCAGCTTCATGGTTCTAGCTTAATTTTTGCCTGGTTTGTGATTTGCTAATACGTTTATGTATGTTATAAAAGTGAGATTTTTATAAGTGCTATAATTACTAACAAAATCTCACCAAAAGTCTAAAACACCTTAGTAAAATATGGTGTATATTTTTTTTTCTAATTTTAAAGCCCTCACTTTGAAATTTTCAGAGGGAGACTTAATATGCTAACACTAGTGCCAGCCTGACTCCCCACCTTTCCTTTCTTTGGTTGACACAGTCTTTACTATGTAGCCCTGTCTAGCTTAATCACTAAGTAGATTAGGCTGGTCTTGAACTCACAGAGATCCACCTGCCTCTGATTCCCAAGATCTAGGACTAAAGGCAAGCACCAACATGCGGTACCTGCTAGCTGTTTTTGGGTTGTTTGTTTGTTTGTTTAATAATACTTTTTAAAATATTTTTACATTAAGAAAGTTTGTTGTAGATAATGATATTCTCATGAATATTAACGTGCAGATAACAGTTACCTGCCTTTTTGGCTTATATGTCTGCTTGAATATAAATGAAAAAAATTAATCAGGAATTTTTTTTAACTCCTTGAACCAAATGAAAGTGAAACTATATCTTTCCAGAACTTCTTGGGCTGTGGTGAAGATATTACCAAAAGTGAAATATATGACTGTGAATGTTTACGTTAAAAAGTCAAAACAGACCTGGAGAGATGGCTTGGTTATCAGGATCACCTGTTGTTCTTGCAGAGGGCCCAGGTTTTCACATGATACACAGACAGGCATATATATAGGCAAAACACTCACACATAAAATGAAATTAATAAATCTAATTTTTAAAAATGGACTGGAATTAATAACTCAGCAGTTAATATCATTTGTTGCTCCTGCAGATGACCCAGGTTTGATTCTCAGCAGCCATACGAAGGGTCACAGCTATCCATTCTTCCAGTTCCAGGTGTTCCAGTGTTCTTTCCTGGCCTTACAGGGACTAAGAACACACATGACGCACATATACACAACCAGGCAAAACACTGACAGATCAAATAAAATAGCTTAATCTAATAAAATATCAAAATATCTCAAATAACCTATCATGTGCTTATAAGTTTTGGAAAAATATACAAAGTACAAAGGCAAGTTCAGAAACAGTAGGCAGTGAGGGAAAAAAGGTCAGGGTGTGTGGTTTGGTTTGGCTTTGTTTTTCACGGCAGGGTTTCTCTGTACAATCCTGACTGTTCTGGAACTCTGTAGACCAAGCTGACCATGAACTCACAGATCCACCTGCCTCAGTCTCACAACTGCTAGAATTAATGGCACGCACCTTCCCCAACTAGTATCTAGGCAGTTATTGATGAAATACATGTAAAGAACAGAACATACAATCAATCCACCACAATGCAGTCAATAGATACATAAGACTGACTAATCCCTAGCTGGACTGACAAAAATAAAAGGAAGACAATATAATTAAATTAGAGAGTACTCCAATGAACCTACCATACTTATTAGAGAAATTTCTTGTATTTCAAAAAAACTTGATAAATCTAGAAGAACTTGATAAATCATTAGTCACATATGATCTGAAAGAGTTAAATGACAAAAACACAAACAGCTTAAGTAAGCCGTAACACACAAGGAGACAGAAGCAGCAATAGGGAATAAAACAATACAAAACTAAACTCCCAAGAGAAGGACCAGATGGATATGTTCACTGTTCCATTCAACCAAACTTTTCAGGAAGAGCTGACAAGAGTATTGATCAAGCTGTTCATAAAAATAAAAAAGAAGGAACACTACCAAAATAATTTCACTAAAGTATTCTCTTGAAGCTAAACCAGATAAAAAAAAAACAATGGAACAAAACAAAACTGTGGGCTGCTCCCTCTGACAAACACAGATACAAATATTCTTTTTTTACTTTTCATTTTTATTTATTTTTCTCTCATATAATACAACCTGGCTACAGCATCCGCTCATTCTACTACTCCCAGCCCCTCCTCCCACCTTCCTTCTTCCTTCTCTGTTTCCCTTCAGAAATGAGCAGTCCAACCAAAGGATATGTACTGAACTCAGCATAACAAGGTACAATATAACTAGGCACCCACCTCCATATCAAGGTTGGAGGGGCCAACTCAGTGGGAAGAAAAGGGTCCCAAGAGCAGGCAAAAGAATCTCTTGCAGTTTATTCCTAAAATCACTGTGGTGAAAATGTTACAGTTAATCATGTCTAACAACTAACTTGGTTAGTCCCTTGAAAATGTGCCTCCCTAGTGCTCACAGCACAAAATAACGTGGGCAGACCACTGAGTAATTGCTTTTACAACCAAGGAAAACAGTCAACAGATATAATCATCCCAGGGCCCTTCAACTGACAGCAGATATGGAGCAAAGATGACTTAGGAGGAGTGAAGGGAGGGCAAGGCTGAGAAAATTGTAAGTGAGTAAAAGTCTCTCCTTGCTTTGTTCAAATTATTTCATGCATTCCCAGAAGACTAACTGCTAATTGATTCAAAGGTAAATTATACTTTCTAAATGAGTAGAAGTTGGGCTAATTAAACCTATACTTTAATACAGAACAGTAACAGGTAGTTGTGGTTTGCTGTACTTCCTCCAGTATTTGAGTAGATAGTACAAAAGCAACTGACTTGCAACCTCAAAAAAACTGACTCCCTCCCTCCTGTAGCCTATGGTTGCTTTTATTGAACTGAGGCCTCAGAATCTTATGAAGACTATTCTGAAACCAGATTGTTCATCTCCTGAGTATATTACTTGTTCCTTTTCTCAACCAAGGACACCCAAGCCGTTACTTGAAATTAGCCAGGGTCAGGATATTTGTGCAACTGAAATCAGGCTCATTCTACCTGTGGCTCTTCCCCCATGTGACATCTTAAAAGCCACTTTGACATGGACACAGGGATTTGAGTATCACATAGAAAACCACTCTGTCGAAAAGCAATAATTGTGTACACTGTGGTAAGAGACCAACCCTTTTCCACAAATAACCCAATGCTAAATTAGAAAATTCTGCTAACAGTCCCATTTTAAAAGCCCTTAAGAATAAGCATTTTCCGCTGTCCTAAAACAGTGTGGGATAAGCCAGGGATTAGTGACACACACATCTGGAACAGAATCCCTGCAAAATGGGAGTCATCAGTACTTAAGACATTTTTTCTATAATGTGGTTTCTTACATCTGGTATTGAGACCACAACAGCTCCTTTAAATCCAGAAATTGTCAGATGAGTGATCCTTGGGGAATCAACAGGGCAGGGTGGAGAAATGACCCTGGAACTCCTCCTAGAGAAGTATGCTTCCCCAAAGAACTGGTCGCTCCACCCTGAGCCCAGCAAAACAGCATGAAGTCAGCTTTCTTACTCAGTTGCCAGTGGCTGCCTCAGCCCCATGCTTCCTACTTCTGCAGCCAGAAGATATTCAGCCAAGTGAACTCCACAGTCCTCTTCCTCTGGGTCAAGAATGCTGTCTCTGTCTCAGAAGTCTTCCCAATGAGGGATCAACTGTGATTGTCATTCTTCGTTTCTCCACAGTAGTCTGGTTGCTGGGTCAACCTCATAAATATATAACCGTGTTTTTACATAAATGACACTGGCAGAAATCCTATACCCTCCTTGTCAGCTTCCCTGTAGGTGTTCCTTTAGCAGGGTACGTAGCTGTTCTAGCGAACAGCCCAACCAGCAAGCACACGTAAGTGCTGGGAGGGCTGCCAAGTGTGTCATAATGTGTCCCCCTAAGTACTCTCAGTTTGTGGAAGAAACAAGACACCACCGGTATGTCGCAAAGGGCAAGCGAGACTGCAGACTCTCTGTGGCTGAGCTAATGAATTACCTTATCCTGTCAGAGCGAGGGCGAGGCTTCTGTAGACTTCTTCATATTCTGCACACCCCGCTGAAGCAGAACCTAATAACACGATCCTTTTTAACTCCCATTTTGGAGTGTCTCAGAACCATATCCACCAGCATCCTAAGGTTCCCCAAAGAACACAGCCTCTGTTTCTCTTCCACACTGATACTAGCAGTCATATTTACTCTCTCCTACATTTGTTGCCTTTTTACCATTTTTGAGACTATAGTTTAATTGCATTTCTCCTTTCCCTTTACTCGCTTCAAGGCCCATATACCACTCCCTACTATCCTTCAAATTCACAGCCTATTATTTCACTAATAGTTGTTCATGCATATCTAGTCATAAATATTACCTTCTCAGTCCTTTAATGTTATTTGTATATTTATTCCAGTGAGGTATGTGTGTAAGTAGAGGTCAATTTGCAGCCTCTACCACGTATGAATTATGGATGGGACTCAAGTATTCGACTTTGTCAGCAAATACCTTTATCTGGGGAGCCCTCACCAGCCCGATAAATTCAAATTTAAATTTAAAATACTGACTCTTTCATGTGCATGGCATTTGGTCTTGAGTCATGCTCCGCCATTTAGATTTTATGTGTGTCTCCAATTATTACTTGATTGTCAGAAAATGATGTTTGTCTATTTTATTAGTCTGCTTGTATCTAGAAAGTCACAGTAATTTCTTATTCTAATGCTCACCACAGGACTCATCAAGTAGTATTTGGATAAAATAATTATTCAAAGGAGGGACACATTCGTATCAGTTTAGAACTGTAGTGGTTTTGAAAACTTTCCTCACAGATCTAAGGACAACATAAGAAGACTAGAGGTGTCAATGCGTACGAACACTTGGAGAGTTCAGGAGTTAGGCATGGACACAACTGCTCATCCCTCTTCTACAGAACGGTCATGGCTTTCAGCTTTCTGTTGGCACTTCAGTGAAGCTGTCTCAGAAAGTGGTATTTACCAGCACTTCCTAAGAGTGGGATAAAACAACTGCGAAAAACAAATACTTAAAGAGTTTAACTACAATGATTCAGTAATGACCTGTATACTAAATTAACCTACAGAATGCCAATGTTTCTGATGGTACTTAGTGATTATACCATCTTCTTTTTGTATTTCCCTCAGTTCCATCCTTCTTTTATCCCTCCAAGTTCTCACGTACCCCAGCACATTCATATTTATGGCATTTTCTGTAATTATTTTTTGCTTCTAAAATTATTATTACAATACAAACATATATGCATGACCTTCTGAATTCATTTAATGCTGCTCCGATATGCATAAGACTAGGGTTTGCCACATTGCATTTGCTAAGCTATTAAGGGCTTGGTCTCTAGATAAACTGATTCTCACTCTCTCAGGAGCTCTCTTTCTAGTGATGAGACCTTGTGGAGTTTCCAACATTCACATTGGCACGTGAACTGGTATTCACTAGGCAGGTCTTTTTTCTAAGATTTATTATGCTGCGATGTTCTGCCTGCACTAGATATTATTCCAGATGGTTGTGAGCCGCCATGTGGTTGTTAGGAGTTGAACTCAAGACCTATGGAAGAGCAGTCAGTGCTCTAATCCGTTGAGCCATCTCTCCCCTCCTAGGCAAGTCTTCTTTTATGTGGAGATCCCACAGGAACAATGTCATGAGTCACCTTTTGGGGGTGACTTCTCTCACAATCCTAGCCCAGGACAGGGGCACAAAGATTAGAGATGTGAGATAGGAGGAACAGAGATAAGGAAGAAACACAGAGACACAGGACAGTAACAGGAGGGCCACTCAGCAAGTACTGAATGCTGAATTACACGTTCTAGGTTCTGAGTTGGCCCGTGTTTAATTTTCCATACACTATTATACCCCAATACAAAATGAGGGAAGTGGGTGGGCAAAAGACTGCTTTAGCATGATACAAAGGACAACTCAAACAGTTACTTGTTCTAGTACCTGAGACATCAAGCTATTAATTCCTGAGCAGAGCATTTGATGTTTGGGGGCAGTGAACATACCCTAGCCCAAGGATCCTTCAGGCAACCACTCCCCAAGTCAAACCTCCTATTTCAAAAGAAGGAGCAGAAGTATGCTGGAATTCTCTGACCTTTGGTCATGGTGGAGCAGATCCAGTTCTATGGCCATCTTAAGTCCAAAACACCAAGTAGCCAGATCCTAGGTCAGGATATCTTGTTTTGTAGTCACACCTGTTATCAAAAACTTTGAAAGAGTAAAAATTAAGGTCAAACTCTCTGACCTTCAGATAAGGTGGAACAGGCTCACAGTTTTGGGTATTCACAGAGCAGCTACCTGGTCATGTCTACGTGACACTAGCTAGAGACAGGAGCTCTCATTCTCTTACCCTTTCAAACCTTTACCCCTTCTTATTTGGGTTTCTTTGATCCTTGGGTGTATGGATTATACTGTAGATGTGCTTACTGGGACTGGGCACCCCACTGTCACCTATCTGCATTTTAAACACTGGGAGTATGATTCTCTATAATAGTCTCCATCTGCCGCACAAAGCAGTTTTATTGATGAGGAGCAAAAGCAACCTATATCTGTAGGTATAAAGATACATATTTGTAATACAGCTAGAAATTCTATGGATGTAGGAAAATATCACCGTAGGAGCTCACCCTTAGGCTCAAGGGCCCCTCCAGGCCTTATATCCAATTACATAGGCAAAATTGGACACATATCTTTTTGCCTAAACAGGATAAAAGAAATTTGAACTGCTGAAATTTCTAAACTGAAATGTGGTTTATGTTACCCCAAGGTCCCAATATGCATGCCTTCCTGTTCCAGATGACCATGAAAGAGCCGTCGCACACTATAAGTCCTTGCCTGGTTTACAATGAGGAAACTCAACGGTGCATATTGAGATGGGGGGAAGTCACCTTTTTATCTTATCACCATTTTTACAACTCATTCTGTCTTGACTGCTAATCCTGTATCATGAATCAGCAGCATGATTCCTAATTAGAATAGTGCTTTTCTAAATTGGAAAATGATATCACATGAGGAGACTCTTATTTTTAAGGTAGGAGAACATTTTGCATAGATAATAAAAGCTTGAGAAAAGAAATTATTGAGGGTAAAAATATGCAGACCCCTAAACTGGGGCTGCCAAGAAGGCTTAGCAGATAAAGAAACTTGCTATGCAAGCTTTATGACCTGAATTCGATTCCTGGAACCTATGTAAAAGTGGAAAAAAGAGAATTGACTCCACAAAGCTGTGTTTAAATACACACACACGTACACACACACACACACACACACACACGTACACACACACACACATGTACACACACACGTACACACACACACATTTGTGTGTGTGTGTGTACATATCACCAATAACAACAAAAATAATAATTGTAATAATAATAAAAATGAAAATTTTAAAAGCTACTAGTTTGGGTTACCTATTTAACCAGCATAATTTTGAGCTACTTTAAGAAAACTTTCATTGACATTTTCTTAAGTTTAAGGAAAAGTTCTAAATAAGACTCAGATAATGTAATAGGCTGTCACATATATGTATACAACAATGTTTAATTTTTAAAAAGCCATTCAAAAGAAAGGAAGAAGAGATAAATGGGAGAGTTTGGAAGGAGGAAAGAATCAGTGAATTATGTAACTATATTAATGTAAAAAAATGATTTTTATAGGTAATCACATATCAAAGTACTAAACAGGCTGGAAATTCTGCAGCATGCCTAGTAATGTAAGCTAACTGTGCACTTTTTTAGTACCAACAAAAAATGCTTACAAACACTTGAGGGGATGGAGCAACATAGCAAGCCACAATTAGTGGTGTCTTCAGAGTCTGGAACTGATGAAATCGCCCTCACATTGTTCTTTCCATATTTCATTCAGTGAGCAGCAGGCTGCCCTTTTTCCACTTTGTGTGAAAGACGAAAGGGCTGGAAACACCCATAACCCATACTTTGAAGAAGTATGGAACACAACTGTCAGCTTTGAACAACCTCAAATTCAATTCTGTGTCCCCGTTTGGTCTTCGTTTTGGGAAATCTATAAACAGGAATATTTAACTACAATGTTTTTTCTTATAACGAAAAATGTTCCGAGGTCATGGGAATATCCAACGACAGGCTGTCTTTATTATTTATTTCTTTAGCTGTTGTTTTTTTCTAAAAAGAGAATGTGTGTGTTTGTGTGTGTGTGCGTGTGTGTGTGTTTGTGTGTGTATGTGTGTGTGTGTGTCCTATAAAAAGTTCTTGGCTAAATTGTTCTTGGCCTAAAGCGTACATTCATGATGATGATGGGTTTGCATGTGGATTCTGCCGAGAGGTTTGAGCAAATGTTTGCCTGTCTGTGCTGACACAAACGCACTGATGTCATTGGCTAGATATAGCAAGGATTCAGCACAGAAGATGACACATCTTGCTTGGTTTCCAATGGTGTTTGTCATTCTTAACAAAGTCAGCAGTAAAGATTTGACAGATTTCACACAAAGCTCCCCATTTCTGTCCTCTGGTAAAGTCTGATAGTGTTCACGTTCTGTTCCTGCCAGGAGTGAAGAGTTGGTTCGCTGTCAGCCTTGAGAAAAGCCGAGCTCTCTAGGAGGCCACGGTCCTGATAGCATGCCATAATTTCCAAGATGCTAAGCACAGCAATTTTGCTTAGTTTGCTTTATGCAGTAAGCACTTCAAGACTAAATAAAACTAAAACTGGGGTATTGTATTTGAAGTAAAATGTGAAATCCATTTTTGTTTCTGAAAGTAATGTTATGGAGTGTTTAATAGATTTAGACACACACTGTTTGTGCTGACATATTGCATCTACCAATTTGGTTCACAGGACTTAGCACACACGTTCTACCAGTGAGTGAGTGTGAGCTCCAACCTTCAGCAGTTCCATTATACCTGAGCTTTGATCCTGGGTGTCAGGGTAACCATCCTCCTCTGAAGTTCTGTCAGTCTGCTTCCACTGTGGAAGCCTTCTAGCTGCCTATTTTCCCAAAGTAATTGCCTCTTTCTATCTGCGGCTCTATTCATTCCTCTTCTGGACAGAAGGGCACCTTCTTTTCATCTGGTCCTCATACCAAAGTTTCAAGCCAGATCATCTAATGAAGAATATAATCACTCCCTCAGCTACATTCCCCAGACATCAACTGTTGTCAGTTTCATTATATGACAGAATGATAGGCAAAACTCGCAGATCCAATTCCTACTAATACAGTTTATGATCTAGGCAACAAGCATGCAGTAGATAGGAAAGCAATCAATATGGAAAGAACCATTCAGTAAAGGGAACTGAGAACTGAGTAAGGAAACGGGAAGCCAGATGGGCAACTGAATGTGCCAAGACTTAAAGACCATTGTTCCTGACACCCAGGGTAACACTAGCCCCAGTGACACGCTTTACTCCCTGCAGATAGGAGAGCTGGCAGGACATCCTAAGCTGTTGGTGCTTTGCTTTCTGTAGCTATTGTTCTTGATGGAACTCTCTCCCAGTGGGAGGTATCAGAGCTCATCCCCACAGTGAGCAGAGCTCCAACTTCAAGATTTGTCTAGGGAAGGGAGATCATACAGAAGGAGACTCTCACATTAGAATTTGAATTGAACATGATAATGGCCACCTAATTTGTTTTAGCATTAGAATGCGTCCATGGGTGTTTTTGCCAGCAATATACGTCCTGTTTCAAAATCGGAAATAGAGGGTTGATGGATGAAAAGAGGGAAACGTTAGAACATATTCAAACATGTGTCAGCCCCTCTGTGGAGACACTCTAGAATAAGGAGCCATTCTACCTAATTATCTAATGCCACTCAGCTAGCTAAGGAAACACCTCGTAGCTTTCTACAGATAGAGATCTCTCTGTCGAAGACCAGACTACTCATTTTCTTCTCTCTGGAACTCCAACGTACTTAAAGCAAGTTGACTTTAACTGTTTTGAAAATGATTATTATTAAGACAAAGGGACCATTTTCTTAACGTATTTTCTTTTATTAATCTTTTTTTCTTTTTTTTTTTTTTTGCAGTGCCCAGGCGGGGCATTTACACCCAACATGAGAACCACCAAGGACTTCCCAGATGATGTGGTCACCTTTATTCGCAACCACCCTCTGATGTACAATTCCATCTACCCCATCCACAGACGGCCTCTGATTGTCCGCACAGGCACTGATTATAAGTACACGAAGATCGCCGTGGACCGCGTGAATGCTGCTGACGGGCGGTACCACGTCCTCTTCCTGGGGACAGGTAGGTGGTCGAAGTCGTGCTATGCTATCAAGGAATGTCCAGCAATTTAGGGAGAAAGGGAAGACCAAATCATCGAGCCTAAAAGGTCATCAGTGTTGCCTTTTGCTTAGCCTTTAGTTTAATCTCTCCCGTCTCATTTTCCACAGCTGTAAATGGAGTTAACGAAATAAATCACCAATGTGGTTGTGATAAACAACTGAAGTTCATGTCATCAAAGTAGTTCCTGATCTATATTAAAGGGAAAAATAAAAATAATCAGCCAAATTAAGGGCTGGGTGGAAGTTTTATATATGAACGATGTTCTGAAGTGAAACAGAATCTGTGACTCACTAATTAATATTTGGAGTCATTTTCCAGAGTGGTGGTGATGGATAAGACATTCTTTGTAAATTTGAAAGTAGACTTATATATAGGTAGATATTTGGAAAATGTTATAGTGGCTATGTTAATAGAGCCAGCAATTCCTAAATTTCCTATTTCTTTTACCAGAAATTCAATAAAAATAGTCTTATTTGCAAAGACTTGCCTTATAAGTGTTTTAGGGCATTGGCTCTCACAGTGTGGTCCTCAGACCAGCAAGGTCAATATCACCCTGACCTTGTTAGAAACACGTTTGGAGGTGCTCCTCCCAGAAAGCCAGCTAAAAGACCCAGCCATCTGCGCTTTAGCAAGCGGTTCTGGTGATTCCAAAGCACACTGTTGCAAATTACTGGAAGGGAGCAAGGAGCCTTGGCCTGCTGAGCAGACAGGATTATAAATTCCATTCCTGCTTGGTTCCTCCATATTGCCCAAGCGGCAGACATCCACACACTTACTGCCTTGTAGGCGGTGACACAGATCTCATCAGCTCTCCTCCTAGATGTAGGAACAACTCCAAGAAGTATGCAGCGTGTCTTCTAATTAAGGAAACAGATATAAAGCAGGCCTGTGAAAGCCATTGTAAAAAATGTGACGGTTGTGGAGTCTGTCCTCTGAATGGAAGGTGCTGCACTCAGATTTCAACCAGCTACAAAATGTGGTTACTCTTTCTTGGCTTAGCAAAGCTTCCAGCCTGCTCTTCTCATGGAGTTTTTATTTTATCCCTCCGGGTAACTCCAACCCCAGGTCCGCAGCTTTCGTTCACACGTAATCTTTGTTTGAAATCCTGAGACAGGGAATCTTCTAAAATGTATTCTTTGGCATGCCTGGCGGAATCTGAGTTCTTGCTGCTCCCCTCTTCGCTTGCCTGACTTGTGAGGCACAAAACCCTTCCTTCCTGACCTAATCATTCCTTATCATGGCTCTACTACCCTGCCCTCTCCAGGACCTTTCCTGCCAATTATAATCTCAATCCCTAGAGTCTTTCATTTCATCCTATACCAACGTTGACTTAGAAAGCTTCTCCCTACACACAGAGCATGAGTGGGTATTCACCCTACTGCCAATTCTGTATCACCAGGGCTTTCAATGTTATCATCCTATATCCATTAAAATACCTCCCAGCTCTTGTATCATATGGCATTTCAGAACCTCTCTTTGTCTGTTGGGTCAGCCATGCAGCATACAGCTCTTGTCCTCATTCTTTTTGTACATTGGTGTATCTGCATTTTTTTCTATGTCCTCCTATTCTTTTGATCACCCTGTTTATTTGCTTTGCTTTAAATTGTTTCACGTGCAAACACATTTTAAAAATGTGTCATTAAAAGTCCTTGGCAATTCAGTAGTTAAATTAGCATTTCAAACACTGTTGTGCAAACTCCATTTATACTCTTCCAAGACTTTCTAACTGAAGCTTACTACACTTCCCCATATTGTATTCACCATGGTATATTCTTCTCACCCTTTGATCTCTTTGAAGTCTATAATTTCTCTATAGGCATATCACAGCGTTTTGCTAGTCCAATAAATATTTGTCAGGCTGAACTTGAAAGCGTGACTATGTCCCCTGTTACCCAGGCAATAAAATGAATTCATGCAAGCCCAACAGACAATCTTCATTTGCATATACATATGTTTTCATAGATGACTCCTAATTTACTACAAAGAGCTGTATTTAGACCAACAGACTTCAAGGTAGAGTTTCGTTGAAAAGAATACTATCCTGTATTTCTTGATAGAAAGTGGCAGATTAGAGCCCCAATTCTCTCAGTGTCTCCTTAATGTCTCCTTAGATAGATGATTATTTTCTGTTTGCTTCCTTTGAAGCCTGTTTAGAAGACGGATCTTGATATCGCCGCAGACTTACTTTCTTTTGAAAATCTTTATAACGTGTGTAGATTTCACGGGTGGAATTTTCAAGTCTTTTAGAAAGGTTCAGCAATTTCTACTTAACTAGAAGACAGCGAGAAGCATAGTGTTGCAAAGATGCTTTGGGTTTTCTTCCCACATAAGCTCTGGCACCCTGACAGTGATTTTATGTGTGTAGTTAAACACATGTGTCTTTTTACAAGCTGTCTTTGGGCATGGGCTTTTAATTGTAGTGGAGGTTTCACTAATGATCGCTTGCGAAATCTCTTGAGTGTCTTGAGGATTCTGTCCAAGCAGGAGAGTGCACGTTGTGGCAAGGCCTCTCCACAACATCTTTCTGGAAAGACCATCACCAACTTAACCACTGATCCATGCCCATACTGTCTCACCAGACTGCACTATCCTTATTGAACAAATGTTTCAACATTCATGAAACTGAGATGAGTAGTACAATGATATAAAGTAAAATTTCTTTGAAAAAGATTATATATATATATATATATATATATATATATATATATCAGAAAAACATTTGACTTTTTGGGAGAATTATACATCATTGTCTTATACACAACTAATTCAGTTTGTAAGTGGGAAGATATCAATTTTTTTAGATTATTTTTCCTAATTTGTAAGTGCAGGTGAGTATTTCCATTTTCATGGATGAATCTTGGCACAACCACTTATGGAGACAATAAAGAAAGCTGTTTTCATGGCTTCCCTTCTTCTCTGCTATCTTCAGACCTTCAAGGGACTTCAATGAAAGCACCAGTTGCCAAGAATGTTTCTGTAGAGAAAACTGATGTGACAGAATTCAATAGAATATTATGTAATTGTTGACGTGTAACCAGTGTGAGCATTGCGAATTAAAGTAAAGCTCACAGAACCTCTTATTGGCTATGTGGGTTCAAAGCCTGATACCTATTATAACAGTTCATTATCATTACAGAATTTATTGAGTCTTAGATGCTGATGCTCTAACCTTCCAACTTTATCACCAGACAACCAAGTAAATTATCAGACCAAAGAGGAGGCTCAATAGTTAAAGGCTAAAACTTACAGCTCGAATTACAAAATCAAAGATTGAGTTTCCTTTATGTGCAATGAAGTCCCAAGCAAAAAAAGTAAGTGAAAGGCAGAGATAAGAAAAGGCATGAGGTTATGAGGAGAGAATAAAGAAGGTTGGACAAGGAGAAGACAGACAGAGCTTCTACCAGCAAAGCCTACATAGATTCCTTGGTCTTTTTTTACAGAAAAAGATTACTCTGCTTATTTGAGTTGATAAATATAGAATTTTCATTAAATTAAGGAAACTATTTTATTGTCCATAGAGGCTGTATAGGTATTCATATTTCCACAAATAAAAGTTCTTTTAAATATTATATGCTATTTTGTTAAAATTTAAGCTGGGTCTACTTAATTATTTTCATATAATTACTGCTATGACCCCTTTAAAATCTCATTTTGTATGTGTGTATAAAATCAACTCTTCGTTTTAATTATTAATATTCATTTTTTTCTTATTCTTTGAGAAGGTTTTAACATGGAGGCGAAAGCTATTGTGGCATTAGCGTTTCTCTTTGAAGTTGAAACTTATATCCAGGCCACAGGCCCAGAGCAGACTCTACTACACAGTCAGGAGATTTTACCCTGTTTTCCCTTTGCTTCTGGAGCTATAAAAATATTTTAGTGTCTGGGTAAGGTTCAGACACATTCTGTCAAGTTCCCACTTTTAGCACTACGCATGAATCAGCATGATGTGATTTTTGGTGAAAGGGTAAGTGTTCTTGTGAATGGGTGTTAAAGATTTAGGATGATTTACCAGCGTTGTGGTTTTTGAAGGCAGGATCGTTGTGAGTGGTCCCCCCAACCACAACTCTAATACGGAATATACCATTTCATGCTTCTTATTAGCATCCATTGAACTGGATGAGTACTGAGTCGGAATATTGACTCCAGGAAGTTTTCCCAGCCTCCAGAATTTTGAAGTATGTGCCCACATGTGTGAGCAGAGCCTGAGAATGCCTGTCTGGCTACACAGGAGAATAACTGCTTTCTTCATAACGAGAGGTGTTGGCAGCTGCTGCTCTTGAAATGGCACCCTGAATGAGCTGCTCTGCCAGGAACTCTGCGTTTTTAAAGAACTCTCTAAAATACTCATATAAAATTTGATAGCTGCAGAAATATGTTTGATTTGGGGAAAGACTACCCTCATTTGAGAACTACGCGTGAAAATCCCCTAAGAATGATGTATACATTTCTCTCCCACTTAGTAATGGCGGACAAATCTCTCTAAATCACTGGGGTTTTATGGCAATGTAGGTCACTTCCTGCCAGGCCAGAATCTGAGAAATTCGGATAGTTTATCATCAGTTCCTCGGGGCTTTACACAGCAACCAATGCTGATGGGACACAGTGAAACCATGGCTGAACTGAAGGGAGAAAAATGACAATTCATGTTGTCATGGCTGCTTTACCATGTAAAGGGCAGCAAAGAAGGAAGTGCTGGAAAGAAATAAGGAAGGGAGAGGATAGTCTCAGTGACCCTCTGTTCAAGGACGCATGCTCCCACATGAACCTGCCTAGTAAGACGAGGAGCTGATTCACTGGACCTAGCTCTTGCTATGCAAACCCAACAACGTGAGTGTAACTCTGCAGAACCCACTTAAAAGTCAGGGGCAGTAGCTTATATATTTATCATCCCAGCACATCCATGGGGAGGTGAGTCATACACATGCAGGCCGACATACATACACACACACACACACACACTC